AATCTCATTAAGTTCTATCGTAAGTTGAGTTCCCTGGAAGGAGAACCTGATTCGGGGCTTCTTGTGCAAGTGATTCAGGAACAGTCTGCCAAGGAGTGAGGGATCCAGGATGGGACAGGGAGGAGGCAAGGCAAAGATGTGGGCTCTGCCTGGTCCCACAGGGAGCTCAGCAGTGTGAATAGCCCCCAGAGTTGTCACACCTTGAGGCTGGAAGGCCACTCTTCTCCATCTCACATATGTAGAAAGTACATATCAGTATGTCATTGGCAGCGAGTCTGCTCTCAGGGAGAGGATGTAGCTTCCTGGGCATTTCCAGGAGAAGAGGAGCAGCTGTGAGCTTTCCACAGCCAACACTCGCAGCAGCTGGGGCATGGGTGCCTGCCCTAGAGGAGGGGCTCTAGGTGGGGCACCAGTAGCATCCCCTACATGTTCGATGTTCTCACATTAGTTCTTTCCTGAAGGTTGTTCCTGATTAAAGCCAATTTGTCCTGTAATAACATGCTATAAATCTCAAGTGGCTGGCTGAATCAAGGAGTTAGCTTAGTCATTTGCAAAGGCAAGGGATAATTTATGGTTGCTCCTTTACGAGGTCCCATGAATTTTATTCACCATCTTCCTGTCTGGTCCCTGCTTTTCAGGCTGAGGTCACTTGTCAGAACAAAGGCTTTTCAGCTCCTTGAAACCACAGAGGAGTCACAGGATGTGCCCTTCTAGGGAAGGAAGATATGTCAACATGTTTACTTTCAGCACACATGAGCATCACAATTGTCATGTTAGACACTGTCCAATTTGGACTTGGCAAAATATGGCCAACCTGAGGTGGCAGTGATAAAATATTCATTTAGTCACCAAGAATTCTTTTTTTTTTTTTTTTGAGACGGAGTCTCACTCTGTCGCCCAGGCTGGAGTGCAGTGGCCGGATCTCGGCTCACTGCAAGCTCCGCCTCCCGGGTTCACGCCATTCTCCTGCCTCAGCCTCCCGAGTAGCTGGGACTACAGGCGCCCGCCACCTCGCCCGGCTAGTTTTTTGTATTTTTTAGTAGAGATGGGGTTTCACCGTGTTAGCCAGGATGGTCTTGATCTCCTGACCTCGTGATCCACCCGTCTCGGCCTCCCAAAGTGCTGGGATTACAGGCTTGAGCCACCACGCCCGGCCACGTCACCAAGAATTATTTTAGTGGCATGGTACCCATCCCTGACCCCCAGCCCCTAACAAAACCAAATCAAACCCCTAATTGGATCTGAGTTAATGTGCATGTTTTACACTTGGACCTCAGGCAAATGCTCCTTACAGTGTTGTCCTCAGATTGGTCACTGAGAGCTTGTCAGAAATGCAATGTCTCTGGCTCACGCCACGCCTGCAGAAGCTGTGAGTCTGAAATCAGGAATCTGTGGCTTAACAAACCCCAGGTGACTTTCACACAGGCGCTCAAGTTTGACAAACACTGATCCAAAGTAGTGGTTATAAACTTGGTTGCACATTGAAATCCCCTGGGAATTTTTTTTTTTTTTTTTTTTGAGATGGAGTCTTGCTTTGTTGCCCAGGCTGGAGTACAGTGGAATGATCTCAGCTCACTGCAAACTTTGCCTCCCAAGTTCAAGCTATTCTCCTGCCTCAGCCTCCCGAGTAGCTGGGACTACAGGTGTGCGCCACCATGCCCAGCTAATTTTGGTATTTTTAGTAGAGACAGGGTTTCACCATGTTGACCAGACTGGTCTTGAACTCCTGACTTCTGGTGATCCAACCGCCTCAGCCTCCCAAAGTGTGCTGGAATTACAGGTGTGAGCCACTGCACCTGGCTTTTTTTTTTCTTTCTTTCTTTTTGAGACAGGCTCTTGCTCTGTCGCCCAGGCTGGAGTGCAGTGGCGCAATCTCCACTCACTGCAATCTCCACCTCCCCAAGTTCAAGCGATTCTCTCGCCCTAGCCTCCTGAGTAGCTGGGACTACAGGCGCCCACCACCACTCCTAGCTACTTTTTGTATTTTAGTAGAGACGGGGATTCACTGTGTTGGCCAGGCTGGTCTTGAACTCCTGGTCTCAGGTCATCTGCCTGCCTCAGCCTCCCAAAGTGCTAGGATTACAGGCGTGCGCTACTGCGCCCGGCCCTCCACACCTGGCTTTTTTAGGTGATTTTTATCAGCAGCCAGGGTTGAGAATCACTTGTCTAAAGCTGGCTCTTTTGCCTTCTATGAAAGGAATTTTAACACCAGCTTCACTTTGAAGAGTATGTTTTTTTTAACTGCAAATATTCACTTCCTAATACCTGCAGGTGCTGGAATGGCATTTGCAGAAGGAGAAACTATTCTTTTTGGCGCAGAGTCTCCTACCTGGAAACTTGTAGCAGAAGTTGAGCAAAGTGTTCATATGTTTGAGAAGAAATAAAAAGATAAATCTTGAATGAATGAGTGAGATTCCTCAGGCCTGCAGAAAGTCACGAAGGTGATGGAGAGACGTTAGGATGGGATATCTGGCCAGGCCACATGCCAACACTGGGTATTATTATTGAGTCTGCACACCCAAAAATGATCGGCATAGGTTGGCTTCTTCTAAATTCAGTCCCACCTCGTAGGAGTAGAGTTGTCCATGTGGAACTATCACACTTCCTTTCTTTAATTTCCTTTTTATAACTCTCATCATACATTCGGTTTCATTATCCATCCTTCTCAGTGCTAAAGACATTATCTAGATCACACTGTTGAGTTCCTTTGGGTTTAGAGGATTGAAGACCATATGTACCCCAAGCTAAACCTGCTTGTTTGGACATGAATGGTTAGGTCTGGTGTCCCTTGGCTGCCCCAGGATAGGGCTTGATGACCTGCTCCTTGAGAGCCAGGGAAAGTGTCAGTTCTGAGTTTGGTAAAGGGGGAGAGAACCCAGAGCGAAGCTGCCTTGGATGGGAATGTCAGCCCCTCCCTCTAACGAGGGGCTTGACCTTGAGCAAGGTCCTGACCTGGGCTCAGTCTCCTAGTTCTCTGTAAAACTGGGATCATGGTGCCTGTGGTTCAGGGCTGTCGAGAGGAGTAAATGAGAGAAGGTAGGTAAAGGGCTTGGCACACAACAGCCACTACATGGATACAAACTGCCCAGTGTCCTTGACCTCTGTGCCCCTCACCCCTGTGTCCCTGACCTGACCTGACCTCTGTCCCCTCACCCCTGTGTCCCTGACCTGACTTGGAACCCACATGTTGGATAAATTATCAGAGTATGTGTAATTTCTAGCTCCGCTGTTTCAAGGCTGTTATCACTCAGGACAGCTCAGTAACTTCTTAGGCTTCAGTCTTCTCATTGGTGAAATGGGAATTAAACACTCACTGACAGAACCAGTATTGGCACCAAAAGGACGTCAGTATGGTTTGGTCATTAAGATATAATTCACATACCATAAAATTCACACTTTTAACGTGTATTTTAGTACATTCACACATTGTGCAATTATTACCACTGTCTAATACCAGAACATTTCCATCACCCCAGAAGAAAGAAACCGGTACCTGTTTGCAGTCACTCCCCATTCTCTTTTCTCTCCCTCATTCTCTGGCACCCACTAATCTACTTTGTGTCTCTGTAGATTTGCCCGTTCTGGATATTTCATGTAAATAGTCATTCAGTATGTGGCCTTATACATCTGGCTTCTGTCACTGAACATAATGCTTTCCAAGTTTATCCATGTTGCAGCATGCATCCGTGCTCTATTCCTTTTTATGGCTGAATAATATTCCATTGTAAGAATAGATTACTCTTTTTTTTTTCTTTTTTTGAGACAGGGTCTCACTCCTGTTGTCCAGGCTGGAGTGCACTGGTGGGATCATGGTTCACTTCAGCCTTAACTTCCCAGGCTCAAGCGATCCTCCCACCTCACCCTCCTGAGTAGCTGGGACTACGGGTGCACCTGACCACACCTGGCTGATTTTTGTATTTTTAGTAGAAATGGGATTTCGCCGTGTTCCACAGGCTGGCTTCGAACTCCTGGGCTCAAGTGATCTGTCCGCCTCAACCTCCCAAAGTGCTGGGATTACAGGCGTGAGCCGCCACGCTCAGCCACATTTTGTTCATCCACTCATCAACTGACAGACATTTGGGTTGTTTCCACGTCTTAGTTATTATAAAGAACGTCGACATGATTTTACAAATAGCACAGCATCACTCCTCTGTGAAGTTTTATTATAAATAATGTCAGTAATAAAAATGCTTAGATTTGTGAGAAGAAATAAAATCCAATCATTCAGGTACAAAATAAATCTGTGTGAGTGCATTTGCCTTTAGACTGGGACATGGCTGTGCTTATGAGAATGCTACTGAGCATTAGGATCTCACGGTTGCCATCTATGCTATTTCACATTTAGGGTTCTGTTCTCAAAGTTAGAAATGTTTTATGTCAGCCAGGCGGGGTGGCTCACGCCTGTAATCCCAGCACTTTGGGAGGCTGAGGTGGACGGATCATCTGAGGTCAGGTGTTCAAGACCAGCCTGGCCAACATGGCGAAACCCCATCTCTATTAAAAATACAAAAATTAGCCAGGCATGGTGGCGGGTGCCTGTCATCCCCGCTACTCGGGAGGCTGAGGCAGGAGAATCACTTGAACACAGGAGACGGAGGTTGCAGTGAGCCCAGATCACGCCACTGCACTCCAGCCTGGGCAACAGAATGAGACTCCATCTCAAAAAAAAAAGAAAAAGAAAAGATATGTTTTATGTCAGAAGACAAAGCCTGAATAAACGGCATTTCGGATGCTTAGAACTTTTGAAAATGGGGTTAGAAATAGAAGGTCAGGTCTGTCCAGTGCAAAGTGTTCTTTTTAATATTAGAGATATAGGGTAAAATAAAACAATGTGTCTGCCCTCAGAAAGCTTTCAGTCTGGAAGAGAAGATGATTAAGGGGGCAATCACAAGATGGGGTATGTGCGGTGGCAAGCCTGGCCTATGAACTTGTAGGGACGGTCTCCTCATTAGGGAAATGGTACTGTAGCCCGCTGACCCTGCCACTTCTCTTTCTCCTAGCATGGTAAGACACAAGGATGGTGGCTATTCCGAGGAAGAGGACGTGAAGACCTGTGCCCGGGACTCAGGCTATGACAGCCTCTCCAACAGGCTCAGCATCTTGGACCGGCTTCTCCACACCCACCCCATATGGCTGCAGCTGGGTCTGAGTGAGGAGGAGGCAGCAGAGGTCCTGCAGGCCCAGCCTCCGGGGGTAAGACTCAGAACCTCGGGAAGCAGGTTGAGGCAGGCAGGACTGCTGCCGGCTTAAAGAAAAACACCTGGAGTTAGTTCCAGAAAGTTCTTCCCAACTTGTAAGGAGCATGTTTCCTGATGTGTAACTGGTTTTCATGCAGAAATATTCTGGAAACCCAGGAACAGAGCCCTTCACAGCGTGTCTTTCTGTCTTTATCTGCTCAGTTACCATGGGAGATACAAGGATTCAGCAGAGTAACTGGGCATCTAGGTAGCGGGTAGGGGCCACTGGCCAGAAGCCTGGGTCTGACCTCTTGAGCCCAGACACTGAGGATGAGCCTGGGTCTGGGATCCTTGGTGGCCTCTGCTGCCTTCCTCTCCTTCTGAGTCTGGGAGCTCTGCCAGGGTCCAGCCATCCAACTTGGGACCCAGCCTTCAAAAGTTCTGTGTCCACAGACTTGCCTGCTCTGTAGTCCTCTTTTCCCTGGGCTTTCCACACAGACCAAAGTCTAATATGGTTTCCTCAGCTACTGTCTATCCAAGACCACTGTCCGTCCTATCCAGACCACTCCACGACTTGCGAAAGGTCCTCAAGAAAGCGACTGGGGCTGGACACAGTGTCTCATGCCTGTAACCCCAGCACTTTGGGAGGCCAAAGCGGACAGATCACTTGAGGCCTGGATTTCAAGACCGGCCTGGGCAACACAGTGGCACCCTATCTCTACTAAAATTACAAAAATTAGCCCGGTGTGGTGGCACATGCCTGTAATCCCAGCTACTCAGGAGGCTGAGGCAGGAGAATCACTTAAACACAGGAAGTGGAGGTTGCCGTGAGCAGAGATTGTGCCACTCCACTCCAGTCTGGGCGACAGAGTGAGAATCGGTCTCAAAAAAAAAAAAAAAGTGATTGGTATCTCTTGTGCTGTCCAATATAGTAGCTTCTTGCCCCATGTGGCTCTTTAAATTTACAAGAATTAAAGCAAACAAAATTAGAAATTCAGCCCCTCAGTTACCATAGCCACATTTTAAGTGCTTTCTGGCCTTGGCCGGCTACCGTATTAGATGGTGCAGAATATGGAACATTTTCACTGTAGTACAAAGTTATAGAGGATAGCACTTGTGTACAGTGTCTACTTCCAAAGGGTAAATACAGTAAGTCACAGATAAAATAAGACTTCACGCACAACACAAGATAGAGACTAAGAACTAGATGGAGAAGCAAGGGGAAAATCCCATTAGTAGCCAGCTGAGGAATGTCATAAGAATTGGGCACCAAATATATTTTTGAATTTCCTAGCAGTGAGAGTCTGTCTGTTCTCACTTTTTAAAAAACATGTGAATCTTTCTTTATTGCTCATCAGGCAGAAACAGGCAGAACTAAGACATCTGCTAGAACATGCTCAGGGGAACAAGGCATGGTGCTTTCTCATCTTTGCAAAGAATCCCTTGGCCATAACACAGAGCTGCTGCCTCTAGTTTTGCTCTGTAGGATCAGGATTTCCTCACCTCCTGTGAAGCCTCACTTTCAGCCTGTTGAATTGTCTGCTCTTGCGTTTCTGCAAACAATGCCAAAGACAGAAGTTGCTGCAGAGCTAGGCAACACCCTGCCCAGCTCCCCCTCCCAGGGTAGGGCACGTCCACTCTTGCTGAGACCTGCGTGGGAAACAAGCCAGGCATGTTCTCTCCATCCGCCTGCCTGATCCCTGCACAGGGCCTGCCTGATGAGATTGGGCAGGTTGAGGGCAGGGCCAGGACAGGAGTAACGTGGACCAGGACAGTCAAGAATAATGAAGGGAGAGGCCAGGCATGGTGGCTCAGGCCTGTAATCCCAGCACTTTGGGAGGCCAAGGCAAGCAGATCACTTGAGGTCAGGAGTTCGAGACCAGCCTGGCCAACATGGCGAAACCCTGTCTCTACTAAAAATGCAAAAATTAGCCAGGCATGGTGGCATGCTCCTGTAACCCCAGCTACTCCGGAGGCTGAGGCAGGAGAATCGCTTGAACCAGAAGGTGGGGGTTGCAGTGAGCTGAGATTACACCACTGCACTTCAGCCTGGATGACAGAGCCAGACTCCATCTCAAAATAAAATAAATAAAATAAAATAAAATAAAAAAAGAAGAGACAGAAAAGCAGGTGGCTGAAAGTGTGTGAAGGAGGAGGATTTCAGAGACTGGCCATGGAGGCATGAGTGAAGTGGGCTTTTGGGGTGCCCACACTTAATTATTCTACAATCTAAGATAGGCATCCACAAACTGTTTCTATAAAGGGCAAAGTGAAATATTTTTGGCTTTGCAGGCCATACAGTCTCTGTCACAACTACTCAACTATGCTATTGTCATGCAAAAGCAGCCATAGACAATATGTAAATGATCAGGCTTGGCTGTGTTTCAATACAACTTTACTCAGAAACAGATGGCAGGATGGATTTCATCTGCAAGCCAGACTTTGCCAACCCCTGATATAATGTAAGCCTGCAGTCCTCAAAAAATAAGGCCTAGAGGTTGCACTCCCCAACCCCAAGGCTCAGGGGGATCTCCACCTGTAAAAGGGAGTGATACTTCCTCTCCTAACAACCAACAGCTGCCTCTCCGCAGTGCTTCGGCCTCTTACCCATCAGGATGCTACTTAGGAAGCATCTGCTTCAGTTTTAGGGTGTCCCAGAGGCACTGACTCCCAGAACCCGCTACTGGATGAATCCTATGGATTCATCCCCATGGTGCCAGGAGAAAAGAGAACTCAAGGTCTTCCAGCCTCACTCTTCACCAGATACTCAAGTCCCATACCCATCTTCCCACCCCCTAAATAAAGTATCTTACAAGCTATTAACTGGAGATAAAGAGAGGAGCAAAGATTAGGTGGGGAAAAAATGAAAGGCTGTAGAAAGGTAGGGGAGAGAAGAGGTAGAGAGTAAGGTGTTTAAATGCAGAGGAAAGAGAAGTAGCTAAAGAAGCGTGACAGACAGAATAAGATCCTTGGAGAAGGGTCATGTTCCACAGAAGGGAGCCAGGACTCAGCTGGGCTGCCACACGCCACACTCCAGGGAGAGTCACTTCATTCGTAGACTAGGTGAATGGTACCTCCTGGAGTTGTGCAGTGCACGGCCTGCACAACAGTACACAGCATAATTACCTCTGCAGTGATGAGGGCCAGAATGGTGTCCTGAGATCAGCACTAGGAATTGGGCTGTTTTAAAGCACGTGTCTAAAGACAATATTAGGATCTTGAGGGAACTGGTAGAATGTGAAGTGACTCAGGAATAAATGGACAGCCTCCATGTCCACTGGGGTGAACTTGAGCATGCATCCACCCATCGCCCAAATGGAACGGCCATTTTTCAGCTCCAGTAGATTGTTGTTTGGTCATACTGTGTCATCTCATTTTCCAGGAGGAGCTAGAAATTCAGATTTCAATTTGAAAATGACAAACAAAGCAACTTCTGCTTTTTCACTGTTGGCAACAAACTTAAAGTTCTTTTGTAAATATCCTTGGAAGCCAAGTTAACCAATGAACTCCCAATTCACCACCTATGGTTTAGCCATGTTACCTGTGTTTAGAATTTAGGTTTCACCAACCAAGATATATAAGACAGGGACTGGAGAATATAACTCATATAAGACATCATATAAGACGGGGCTGGAGAATGTAACTCCAGCAATAAAACAGTCACCGAACTGAAAATGCTTATGCAGACTAGGGGAATTCTTAGCCCCACGGAGAAGCTTCTGTCAGAGGAAAACAGGATTCTTTTGAAGCCAGTAATGAACAAAGGTGTCTGCAGCCTGGGCAGGAGAGTGTCCTCCATGGAGCCATGCAGTGTGGATATGAAGGGGCTGTATTCATTGGCTGTGAGGGAAGCCAGATTCTTGGGTTCCAACGTTCTAAATATTTCCTAAAGCTTTATTTCTTTTCCCTCCACTAGATCTTCCTGGTTCATAAATCTACCAAAATGCAGAAGAAAGTCCTCTCCCTCCGCCTGCCCTGTGAATTTGGGGCCCCACTCAAGGAATTTGCCATAAAGGAAAGCACATACAGTAAGTGGTCATTGGATGCTCAGGTCCTGACTGACATGAGGGCCGCGGGGCTCTGCAGGGAGTGGAAGTGGAAGGAGCTCTGGTTTTGAGATGGGCAGATATGGGTCTGAGTCTTGGCATTGAATGACTAGGCAGGTAACCTACTCCAGGAGCCTCAGTTTTCTCATCTGTATAATGGGGTGATGGTAACCTCTGAGTTGTTAATGAGTCAAACAACCTGAATATTAAGTGTGCAGCCTACTGCATGGCATATGGTAGGGAACTAATAGAGGTTGACTTTCTCTCCGACTACCCAGTTAAGTGGAACACGAATTCGGTTCCCAGGTTTGCCAATGACTAAGTTGCAAGGAGACTGTAGTGAGAGAGCCCTTTTACAGGATCTAATCCTAAAGCATGTGTCTGCACTTCTTCGTGAATAAATAATCCCTGAGCAGACCTGTTCCCTCCAGGCAATCAGTGTTCAGTCTTCTATGAAATGCAGCTCATCAGAGGCAGAATCCAACCTTTTGACGAATATTTTGAAGGGAGAGTGGTGTTCAGTAGTGTTGGTTTCCTTTCTGCTGTTCCATGATTGGTCATTGGAAATGTGAAGTGTCGGGAGGCCAAGTTGTAAATAAAAAAGGGAACAGGCAGTTCTGATGTACTGCCAGCCTCCAAGAAAGGATCGGAAGATGGATCTGCACATCAAAGGGGGAGGAGTGGGAGGAGCAGGCCTGGAGGAGAGAGCTCAGAAGCAAGAAGGACAGAGCCTGGGATTCCAATCTCTTGCTTCCCGATTTCCCAGCACCTCACCTCCTGTATTTGGAGAAGCTGAAGCTGTAGATGGAGGTCAAGTTCAGGGCTGAGATGAGATTCTGCTCAGCCGGGAGGGCACAATCTTGCTGAGCCAAATGACCTTTAACTCAGTCAGTGGAGGGTAAAGCCTGCCAGGCTGACTGTGATCCACCTCCAGCTCAACTGTGAACCTGAATCTCACAAGGCCACAAGGTCATGGATGCCAGGGAAAATCTTCCTCCTGAAAGGCGCACGAGCAGGTGGAACCCAGCCAATAATGTAAATGCATTAGGATGCAACCACAAGGTACATTGCAAACCCACTCTTTGAAAGGTAATGAATTCATATTGAGTTAATAATGTGTTAGGTGAATTGATAATGAATTTATATTAAGTGAATTAATTGAGGAATTCTGAATTGACTTTTGAAAGTCTGTGAGGGGCTGGGCACCGTGGCTCACACCTGTAATCCTAGCACTTTGGGAGGCCAAGGCCAGAGCGTTGTTTGAGCTCAGGAGTTTGAGACCAGCCTGGGCAACGTGGCAAAACTCCATCTCTACAAAAAAAAGAAAAAATAAAATTAGCCAGGCATGGTGGCACACGCCTGTAGTCCCAGCTACTCAGGAGGCTGAGGTGGGATCACTTAAGTGCAGTGAGCCATGATCGTGCCACTGCACTCCAACCTAGGCGACAGAGCCAGACTGTGTCTTAAAAATGAAAAAACAGCCCAACAGAAAATATATATGTAAAAGTCCACGAGGCAAGACGCCACAGATCTAACTGGTTTTGAAATTCCTCCCTAATGTCCAAAGTGGAGCACGGGATGTGTTGGTCGGAAGCCACTTCCTTTCCTCTTCCAGAAGTGTGGGCAATGTGTGTAGAAGCTTCCTGGTTATTCATTGAGGTCCTTGTGGCCAAAGGTTTTTCCCCCATAATTTGACGAGGCCTCTATCACTTCCCTAATTCTCTCCAGGTGACTTCAAGTGGTTAATAGAGCTTGTTTAAATAAAGCATTAGCCTGGTCATAACTAGTTACCACAGGCCTGGGTCCCACTGCAATGGCCCCTTCCCAGCCAGGGCCTGTTTATTTTCTCTGTGAATTGAGGTGAAGGAAGGACTTGCTATAAAAACATTCAGGGAGGCTGAGGTAGGCAGATCACTTGAGGCCAGGGGTTCGAGACCAGCCTGGGCAACATGGCGAAACCCCATCTCTACTAAAAACACAAAAATTAACCAGGTGTGGTGGCGCAAGCCTGTAATCCTATCTGCTCAGAAGGCTGAGGCAGGAGAATCCCTTGAACCCAGGAGGCGGAGGTTACAGTGAGCCGAGATCGTGCCATTGCACTCCAGCCTAGGCAACAGAGCAATACTCTATCTCAAATAAATAAATATTCAGATATTTTGTCATAACTTACGGACAGTGCAGCTTAATAATGAACAATATCTCATATTTGGATACAGTGCTTTCACATAAATTATTTCATTTTTTAAAATTTCAGCTCCCCACACCACCCTTCTGGGAGATAAGGAAAGTACTGTTAGAGTCCATTTTCCAGATGAGAAAACCAAGCCATTAGGCTTGGAGAAGCTAATCTGCTCCAAATCAGTTCTCTCCTACTTAACTCTACAAATGGTGGCACACATGTGTGTTTGTTGTTTCTGTGTGTCTGTGATGGTATATGTGTAGAGGTATGGATAGTTTTTGGGAGTGCTACAGAAATAAACAAAATAATACAAAAAAGTAAATAAGCGGCTGGGCGCAGTGGCTCACGCCTGTAATCCCAGCACTTTGGGAGGCTGAGGTGGGCGGATTGCCGGAGGTCAGCAGTTCAAGACCAGCCTGACATGGAGAAACCCCATCTCTACTAAAAATACAAAATTAGCCAGGCCTGTTGGTACATGCCTGTAATCCCAGCTACTTGGGAGGCTTAGACAGGAGAATCGCTTGAACCCGGGAGGTGGAGGTTGCAGTGAGCCGAGATCGCGCCACTGCACTCCAGCCTGGGCAACAACAGCGAAACTCTGTCTCAAAAAGAAACAAAGCAAATAAGCAAAATAAATGATGGTATGGAGTGAGAAGAAACGCATCGGATTGAGGAAATCTTCATAAAACTGAGGATATTTCACTGTTAGGAGGAATAACAGTGTGAGTTGCTCAGCTGAGGTTGCGTGACGGCTGGCTGGCAAATTCATGAGTATTTGAAGTCAGACCACTTGCTGCTCCAGTATTTGGAAGATGAGCAAAATACCACACCATCTTGCCACTATGTGTCTTCTTTTTTTTTTTTGAGACAGATTCTTGCTCTGTCACCCAGGCTAGAGTGCGGTGGCTCGATGTTGGCTCACTGCAGCCTCCTCCCAGGTTCAAGTGATTCTCCTGTCTCAGCCTCCCGAATAGCTGGGATTACAGGCGTGTGCCACCGCATCCAGCTAATTTTTGTATTTTTAGTAGAGATGAGTTTTTGCCATGTTGGCCAGGCTGGTCTCGAACTCCTGACCTCAGGTGATCCACCCACCTTGGCCTCACAAAGTGCTGGGATTACAGGCACAAGCCACTGCAGCCAGCCCAGAATATGTCTTCTGTGTTAGAAAATGTGTACACTGGCGCAGGGGTGGAGGGGGGGAACAACACTCCAAGTAAATGGGTTTTAGAATTTTTGTTTTAAAAAAAAAGTGAGAGAGAGAGAGAGAGAAAAAAAAGAGAGAGAGATGTAGTCTCACTGTAATGCCCAGGCTGGTCTCAAACTCCTGGGCTCAAGAGATCCTCCCTCCCCGGCCTCCCAAAGTGCTGGGATTATAGGCATGAGCCACTATGCCCGGCCAGTTTTGGAATCTTTCATGTTGAATTGAACCAAAAGCTGATTTTGGGGAACCTCGTTGTATCCTCCCAGCTCTACATTCCTTCTCCCGTGTGCTTTTATCACAGGTGCCCTGTTATGACAAAAAGGAGTGACCAAGGAAGTGTGTGTCCTAGGAGGGTCAAGGGATCAACGGGAGTAGGTGTCTTGGTGTTCCCCAAGCCCTGTCCTGTGCTGATACAATCCAGACAGACTGGCCCCTTGTCCCCTGCCCTTTGTGTTCTGAAGCTAAAAAAAAAAAAAAAAAGACAGTTGTGCAACTTGAGTCTGTCCTGGTTTGTTTACCAAGCACTGGAGCATGTGCTCGGAATGAGTCAAGCGATGAACTTCCAGATCATCGACTGTTTACCGGTGGCCACTGGCTGACATGCCTCCTCTGCACAGCTGGTTCTGATAAGCCACACGGTAGTTTGTTTGAGAGTACTCAGATGGTCCCACACACGTGGTGTTAGGGGGCTCTTCCTGTCCCAGAACGTGCTCAGGGAGAATCAGCTGCTTTCTGAAATCTCTTTTCCAGCCTTTTCCCTGGAAGGCTCAGGAATCAGTTTTGCAGATTTATTCCGGCTCATTGCTTTCTACTGCATCAGCAGGTAAGGCCTTTTCCTCTCATATGGTTTCAACGCCCTGTTTGGTGTGTGGGATATAATTAGCCTGAGGTTTCTTAAAGGATCTAGGAGGCTGGCCACCTATTTGATGTTGGTAGAGTAAGGCTGGTTACTTAAGTAAAATGTTCACCAAGTGAACAGGTTCACCAAGTTCACACCATGCCAGGCTTCAGGTCAAAACAACTACCCCAACCCCTCCAAACATAAATTCTCCTTCATATGATTATTTCTTCAAGCTGCTCCCAAGGCTCCTTTCAGCCAGACCCATCAAGCAGGAAACATGCACACATGCACACACGTGCACACACGCACACACACACATACACACAGAAAGGGACTGAGCATGCAAACCTGTGACATTGAAAGGTTCATGATAATGCCTCTGAAAACTCTGCAAGGGATGGAGTTCATTCTACAAATGTGGGTTCCTTAAACCGGCCCGTCAGTCTTGTCCTTCAGGCCAACTGGGTACTCACGTCCTTTTCATAACCAAAGCAGCTATTTTGTTCTACACAACATTAACTCCAAAATCAGCTTCTTTTTTCCTTTTTCTTTTTTTTTTTTTTCCTTTAAGACGAAGTCTCACTCTGTCACCCAGGAGGCTGGAGTACAGTGGCACAATCTCAGCTCACTACAACCTCTGCCTCCCAGGATCAAGCAATTCTCCCGACTCAGCCTCCTGAGTAGCTGAGATTACAGGTGCCTGCCACTATGCCTGACTAATTTTTTGTATTTTTAGTAGAGACGGGGTTTCACCATGTTGGCCAGGCTGGTCTTGAACTCCTAAACTCAGGTGATTCACCCGCTTTGGCCTCCCAAAGTGCTGGGATTATAGGTGTGAGCCACCGCACCCGGCCCAAAATCAGAATATTAACCAGAGTAAACAGAGTGTGAAAGGCTTTCTTTTTTTTTTTCCATTTTTTTTTTTCTTTTTAGCAATAACAGTTTTTTCACATCAAGTGTTTTTTCAGTAATTAAGATCAAAATTCTTGTTATTTGCAGGGATTGGCATTGCCTCCTCTTATGGGGCTGGACTCAATTTGACCTTTTCTGTCTGTCCATGGCCGCTGATATGGCAGAGACAGGAAAATGTGTTACTAGGATGTTTTCAGACATGACTTCTCACAGCAATCACACATATAGGCTGGGGAGTTTATTTGAGTTTGGCTCAGTTTATTTTAATTTAAGGATTAGGTTGTTTCTCAAAGTCTAAGTGCCTGTTGACTAGACTCTGCCAGAGGGCAGGAGGCACTACGCTCTTTTTTTTTTTTTTTTTTGAGCTGGAGTTTTGCTTTTGTTGCCCAGGCTGGGGTGCAATGGTGTGATCTTGGTTCACTGCAACCTCCACCTCCTGGGTTCAAGCGATTCTCCTGCTTCAGTCTCCTGAGTAGCTGGGATTACAGGCATGCACCACCATGCCCAGCTAATTTTTGTATTTTTAGTAGAGACAGGGATTCACCATGTTGGCCAGGCTGGTCTCGAACTCCTGACAGGCAATCTGCCCGCCTCGGCCTCCCAAAGTGCTTACAGGCATGAGCCACCGTGCCCAGCCGGGAGCCACTAAGCTCTTTACCCCTGAAGTCTCCAGGTCAGCTGAAGCCACATAATAAATGGCCTCAGGAAGGGGAGGCACTTCCAGAGGAGGAATTCAGTGCTGCTTACGAGCAGGAGGAAAGTGAGGGCTTCACTGAGAATGGGACCAGTACCTGGGAGCACCTCACAAGAGGATGCAACCTGCCTGCCATGATTTGGGCAGGATCACTTGAGCCTGTGTAAGGAAATGTGCTGCCCAAAGAGAGGAGGCTGGTGCAGAAGCACAGCCCCCGACACACACACACTCTCTCTCTCTCTCTCATCCCCAGGGAAGCACACCTGGTCTGGCCTAAAGTCAACCAGTTTGGAGGAGTAAGTATCAATGCTAACATGTTGGCCAGAGGTGAAGTCAGCTGATATTTACTTTTCACAGTTTGCTTTTTGGTAATTGTGGAGTTGTTGGGAAAAATCATTACACCTACAAAGCAATATTTGGCAATAGCATAGAAAAGTTACCATCAGTGTTCATGGTAGACTGGAGGGCCAGCTGTCCAGGACTGTTTAAAAGATCCAAGGAGATAAAGTATATGGAAACCTTATAAACTATAAAGCTTGATACCAATATATAAGGTACTTAGAGGAAAACTCCAACATTGATGTTTTGCAGCTAGGAAGGCCAAGATGAATTTCTCAGTTTGTTCCAAAATGCAAAGATATTGGATGTTTTTGTTTCTCTTTCTATGCTACTCATCTATGTTCTTGGCAATTGGTAGTTGATTTACCCAGTCTTACAAGAATATTTGTGACATTTTTTAGTTGGTTGTTATTATATAAATATATTCAAGTAAAGAAAATGATTGGATTATTGGTTCTGGTGTTTCACATAGCACGAATATGCAAATATGCATTGCACAGGAGAATTCGTGAATCAATAAACATAGGATTTGCCATGGTGGGAAGGCTCACTGAAAAGTGTTGTTGAGAATACAGATAGTGACTGCACATCTTCGCCCCCAATGCCTGGCAGCACTCTGTTGATTTGGTGTTATCAGTGTAGTAACGAGAGTACTAGAGTCATTTGGAGTCTTGTTAAAATGCAGAATCCGGTTCAGTGGGTCTGGGGTGGTACCTGAGATTTTGCATTTCCAGCAAACTCCCAGGGGATGAGGCTGATGCTGCTTGTCCTCAGACCAGAATAGAGGAATAGAGGAAATCATAATTTTAGGGGTCTTCTATATCTGTGCTAAGCACCATACATACATATTTCTAATCCTCATGGCAACCCTGTAAATTAGGATGATGAAAACACTGAGGCAGAAAAAGTGAAGCACGTGCCCACAATCATTCAATCAGTGACAGTTGTGGGAGTTGAACTCAGGCCTGCCTTAATGCCAAAGCCCATATTTTCCCACCATACTATTCAGCTGCACAGACCTTAGGGCCCAACACATCTGGGTTTCGACCCTCACTTCGCCTCCATTAGCTCTGCGAGGGTGTGCTAGGGACCTCACCTGTCTGCGTCATCATCTGCTCCTGATCCACAGAATGAGGAAATCACGGCTTCCTCCCAGGGCTGTTGCAGGCCCCACACGAGTTACAGTGCCTGCTGTAATTTAATAGTAGTTGCCCGATGATCTTTGTCCCCTCCCCTTTAGAAATCTATGTATAGAGCAAAGTTAAACAAAATAAATCTAGACTGTACATGTTTTAAGTCTTGGGTGAAGCATTTATATCGAAGATGATGGCTTTTGTTTGTCTGTTATGCAAGCTTTAGAATTGAGGCCCCTTTCTTTAATAGGATATAAGGGAAAGGCATCCCTGTGTGAGTGTGTGTGTCCGCACACGCACATGCTTGTGTGTGTCCATGTGTTTGTGAAGATGCTGGGATGCACCCTGGTTGGCACAGTGGGAGAGGATGCATATACAACATCTAATTTTCTAGTAGATCAAAGCCTGAAAGCATCCATTAACCAAGGACAGGTGTGGCTTCCTGTCATATATCATTAAGAAAAATCCAAACCAGTCACATGATATTTAAGCTCCAGGTACTGCATTGAGCAAGGTAAAAGCTTAATATAAACATAGGTTGGTTTTGTTGTATGCAGTTTTTCCCCCAAATTGTCTGAGGAAAGTAGATTTTAATTAAGTTGGTCCGGCCATACAAACATATATTTACAGGCTAGTTTGGTGTTACAAGGTTCTGGTTCCCATTAATCTTCATTTGAGATTATCATCAGGGTTGCCGCCCTGCCAGGTCAGCCAGCAGCTATTACAGACACAGCCATCCCCTGCAGTGCTGCCTGCTTCATCTCAAGCAGACACAAGTGGCCAAGCAAAGGGGGTGCTCACAACATTTGAGGACAAATGAAAGGTCTCGTGGAAGGAAGAGGTGATCTGGGCCTGACCCCCAAGAAAGAGCAGCCTCCTGGCTTTACCTTAGCAGAATAGTACCGTGTCAAAACATTCTTGTTTTTTTTTTTTTTTCTTTTCATTGACTTACTAATTTGTCATTCATTGTTAACAACTTCCATGGCTCCAAAATTCTCCAGTCATCCAGATTTAATCTGGTTTATCCAAGAATGTTGCCTAATTTTACTGTAAACAATAGGTTGTTTGGTATCATTATTCTTGCCAGTGGAAATTCTCAGCATGTCTCATGATGACAAAATCCAGGCAGGACTCCAAGTTTTGTTCCTTAGTAGCACCTTCCAGCCACAGTGGCCTCCTTGATGTTCTTCATCCATGCCAGACCCTCCCCACCCCAGGGCCTTTGCACCTGCTGCTCATGCTGCCTGGAAGTTCCTTCCCCTCATGATTTAACCCCTGGCCACCATTAGATCTTCAGTCAAATGCTGCCTGCTCATGAAGCCTTGTCTGGTCACCTTCACACTCAAACACCTTTGTTCTCCTTTCCTGCTTCACTTTTATCCATATCATGCATCTCCTTCTCGTAGATTCTGTAAATTGTGTATTTGTTTATTATCTATCGGTATCCCCTGACGTGGAGCTCCATGCAGGTAGGAATTTCCGTCTGTTTTGTTTCCAGCCCCTGATGCAATGTCTGGCACATCGCAGATGATCATAAACATCTGTGGAATAAATGAATGAATAATTATTTCTTTGTAAGACTACTGTCACCACTGGAAAAAAAAAAAAAACCCTCCCTTTTGATTAAGTCACCATAGTTATTGAATATTCATTCATTCATTCATTCATTCATTCAAAAGCACTTTCTGCCGTCTGTGTCAGGACAGCGTCGTGCTTTGCCCTGTGGGGAATTCATCAGTGCTTAGAGCATGGTCCTAACCTTTGTGTATGAACATGAGCAAATGTTTAAGTCTGCCTTTGCCCTTTCCAAGCAAGCAAGTCATGGCCCATGGCTGTGGCAGGCCCCTGATGCTGGCTGGGTTCTCTCCTGTTGGATCTGTTGCTCTCTCTGCCATGTGTGTTTATTCATCTGCACATGGCACCACGCTGCTTGGGTGCTGGGGTTATTGGCATGAGGGACCTTAGACTTGCTTTCCCGTTCAAAGTCCGGTCTAGGGTCCGGCAGCATCAGCCTCCTCTAAGAGCTTGGCAGAAATGCCAAATCTCCAGTTCCTCCCAGACCTCTGGAATCAGAGGATGCAGTATAAGAAGACCCTGGGTATTTATCTGTACATTGGAGAAGCTCTGCCTCCAAACACAGGAGAAAGTTTTGTCTCCAGCACACCAAGGCCAATGTGTGGGCTCTAATGGGAAGGTTTCATAAGTAAAGGCAACAGATACTCATTGAGAGCCTGCAGTGTGCAAGGCAATGGGCTAATTCATCTCAGTTTAGGATTCCACATTCCTGCCCAGGCAGTTTCGGGCCAACATTCACATGGGCATGCAGCGAATTGGTACATAGTGTTTTATATGCGTGCCAGATCTGCCAACAGAGTCAGCAATTCTGATGTAAACTCTACATACCTTTTAGCTACTCAGCAGGGCAATTGGGTCCCTACTTTGATACTGAAACTATGCTGGCTTTTCTCTCAGCCTGTCCTGAGTGTGATAATAAGACAGGAATTGTAAGTGTTAAGTTTTACCACCAGGAAAGATAACGTCTGGTTGATATGGTATGGTGTCCACTTAGGACATTTTAAACAGTTTCAGCTAAAACATCTCTATGATGAAAATAAACACCAGATAGAAACCAGACATGTAATTACAAACATTCTCTCTTTTTCTGAACAATCAGGGATGTTCTGCCGTTTACCTTGAAGTTGCCTTATGCCATTTCAACAGCCAAGTCGGAGGCTCAGCTTGAAGAACTGGCCCAGATGGGACTAAGTAAGTGTGTGCCCCCTGCCTAGGTCTATCTAAAAATGAATCCACAGAGCAGAGTCAATAGTGGGCTCAGTGAGGCTACATTGCTCCGTCAGTTTCTCCAACTTCTCCATCAATGAGTTTGGGCTACCCAAAATGTTGACGTCCTCATGTAAACATCTGTAACGTGTTGATGTCTTCCTTTTCTGAGGAATCTTGCTGGGGAGAGGCAGCACTTGACAGAAAGGGAAATCCAGTGTAGTGCATCTCGCGTGCATGATTTTTTTTTTTTTTGAGGGGCACATGGGCATTGATGGCACTTATGTGCTTTGAGGAATTTGACAGCACAGACATCTAGAGTAACATCTGTCCCACTTCCTCTCTCGTCATTCAGTTCTCGTCCTGCTGCTCCGGGCCATGTCCTAACCTGTCGTCGATCCCTCCTCTGGCAGCTGGGTACTTGCTTCCCCGTCCTGCCCCTTTACCGATGTCCCCTAAGTCCCCACAATTCTACCGGACAATAGTTGACAATGGATCAAGACATACAACTCACTCACTTTAACTTCTTTTCTCCATTGCCCTGGGGGAATCTATGTGGGTTTAGCTTTTGCAAAAAATGTTCCTCCTAGATCAAAAGAGGAAATTCTCTTAAGATTTTAGGACTTCACTCACTATGATACTTGACCTAGCAAATAAAAGATGTATGTATTCCTCCTCCAGCGTATTTTTCTCTTAAAGAACTTGTTTTGAAGCGAGTATCATTTCCAGGGAAGCTTCAGAGAGGAGCCTAGGCATGGCTTTGAATTCCCTTCTGCTGAAACTGCTTTTTTTTTTTTTTTTTTTGAGAGGGAGTCTTGCTCTGTCACCCAGGCTGGTGTACAGTGTCGAGATCTCAGCTTACGGCAGACTCTGCTTCCCAGGTCCAAGTGATCCTCTCACCTCAGCCTCCCGAGTAGCTGGGGTTATAGGCGCTCGCCACCACGCCCAGCTAATTTTTGTATTTTTGGTAGAGACGGCGTTTCACCATGTTGGCCAGGAAGGTCTCGAAATCCTGACTTTTGGTGATCCACCCAAAGTGCTGGGATTACAGGCATGCACCACCGTGCTCAGCCATGAAACTTAGACTGTATCTGTAGAAGGATTGCCTTCTGTGTTTCAGGCCTGTCAGATGGCAAGACTGGGTAATGGGATTTGGAAAGAGAACCCTGGTAAAACTCTCAGGCCATAGAAATGTCCCTATTTTAAAGTCAGCACCTTCTTTTGCAGCTAAGTTCTGCATACCTTTGGAGAGGGATTAATATACTTGCTGAAGTTAAGTCAATATTGTCAGCTAGATTCCAGGCCTCTTGAAGATGTGCACCGAGTCTCAGTTCTCTCTCCTGACCTCTGTCCACATAGCTCCAGTTTGATGGTCCTGTGTGCATAGTGCTGAAGGACCGGAGTATCAAGGACAACGCTTGTGTTATGCCAAAGAGAGGGGAAAAGAGTTTGCTTCAGTGGCTACTAACCAGAAGCGACTAAGGGCTAATTCACATATATTCGACTTGTGATTCTCAGTGTGCATATTATCCATTTTGTGTAGAGATAGCATATTTTAAAATTCTGTGCCTCAGTAAAAATACTGTTCATCAAACTAATATTTCTCGAGGGTCTGCTTTGTGGCAGACACTGTGCCCCAGACCAAGGACTCAAAGATTAATAAGATCCCCTCTTACTTCCTGGGACCCTACCCACTGCCAATGAGATTTGTAGTATATATGGAGATACATACACACATGAACTAAGTGTACAAAGCCTTACAAAAGTTTTACAGCTGTGACAGTATAAGTCTAAGGAGGACTCAAAGGAGATGGAAGTAGTTTCTCCAAGACCTGCTCTCCTGGCTAATAGAAACATAAGGTTAATCTGTGTGTAATCTGAAATTTTCCAGTAGCCACACAGGTTAAGTTGATTTTAATAATTTATTTTGTTGTATTTAATATATCCAAAACATAATTTCTACATGTAGCCAATATAAAAAAATTTTAAGGTATGAAATGTTTTACATTCTTTTTGTCATACCAGGTATTCAAAACCCAATGTGTATTTTATTTTATTTTATTTTATTTATTTATTTTTTTGAGACGGAGTCTCGCTCTGCCGCCCAGGCTGGAGTGCAGTGGTGCGATCTCGGCTCACTGCAAGCTCCGCCTCCCGAGTTCACGCCATTCTCCTGCCTCAGCCTCCCAAGTAGCTGGGACTACAGGCGCCCACCACCACGCCTGGCTAATTTTTTTGTATTTTTAGTAGAGACGGGGTTTCACCATGTTAGCCAGGATGGTCTCGATCTCCTGACCTTGTGATCCGCCTGCCTCGGCCTCCCAAAGTGCTGGGATTACAGGCTTAAGCCACCACGCCCGGCACAATGTGTATTTTATACTTACAGCACACCTCAACTCAGGCCCTGAATGTTTGTCAGAAATACATGGCTTGTATTTAGATTTCATTAAATTCACAGTTTAAAAAGTAGATTCTCATAACCAAGTTCCAAAGATACTTAAACGTTTTCCAGTGACTGAACTGAGTATCAGTTCTAAAATTTAAATTGAATGACACTGAATGAGATTTGATACTGACTTCCTCAGTTGCACTAGCCGACTGCAAGTACTCAATAGTCACCTGTGGCTGTTGGCTTTCTTGGACAGTGCAGGAGTAGGGAGAGAGAAGGAGGGATGCAGGACAGATTACATAAGGCATGTGACACGGCTGTTACCTCACAGACAAGGCAGGGCCAGGGCTCCCAAAGGGCTTCACCTCAGTCTTCCCGTGCCCAGCCATTCTGGGCCCATGGGAAAGAAATACACTGCAAAGCATAGCTAGAGATAGAGAATACCTATTCCAGACCAGGCCCAGTGGCTCACGCCTGTAATCCCAGCACTTTGGGAGGCCGAGGCAGGTGGATCACCTGAGGTCAGGAGTTCGAGACCAGCCCAGTCAACATGATGAAACCCCGTCTCTCCTAAAAATACAAAAGTTAGCCAGGCATGGTGATATGCGCCTGCAGTCCTAGCTACTTGGGAGGCTGAGGAAGGAGAATCACTTGAACCTGGGAGGTGGTGGTTGCAGTGAGCCAAGATCGTGCCACTGCACGGGCAACAGAGCCAGACTCCGTCTGCCTGGGTGACAGAACCAGACTCCGTCTCAAGGGGAAAAAAAAAGAATAACCTATCCCAAATGGAAATTATAACAGGCACCACTGATCACAGCACTACCTCCCTCAACTTACATGGAACACTGAGACTCATCTGCAAGAGGAGACACAAGTAGTACGGATCAATAAGCAATCTGCACTACTTTGCAGGGCATTGCATATTTATGAGCATGGTGAGGAGGTTATATAGGATTTGGGAAGGAAGGGCTCCAAACCACAAAGGTAAATGGTTGGGCCTGCACTGCACATTAAGCTTGCTGTGGTTTTTCTGCTGATGGAACCCATGAATGTAGTTTTCCTCCTTTGGTGGTTTTAATGCTGAATGTGTAAAACCCTAGGCAGATTGTGTAACATCCCCCAGGCCCAGCTGCTGGTCTTGCCCATCAAAGGGGAACTTCAAGGCCCGATTCCTTGACTGGCAGCTGCACCGTGGAGGGCATCCCAGGAGAAGTTGTTGGGAAAGGGTGGTGTTGCTTTGTAAGTCGGTTCAGTTTTTGTAAAGCAAGTCAGGAAGCCCCAGTGACCTTTTTTGAGCTTATATTGGAACAATTCCAGTTCCTTTTTTTCTTCCAACTTACCTGTGAAAAGGCAGGGCTGGAATCCTATGTTGGCCAAGCCATTTCTCCAGGGCTTTGAAGTGGCAGGCCCCTGGAGCTTTCCTGTGAGCCCACAGCTGGGCCTGGCAGGCTTTCTGCCCTTTCCAGTACAGGAATGCAGTAAACCCGAGTACAACGCACCCCCCCACCCCACCCCGCAAGACTCGAGTTGTCATGCAGTGTGCTTTTTTTAATTTGTGAAGGAATGGTCTGAGAGTACCGTATTTACATTCTTGTGTTCACTGATAATGACTTTCAGATTTCTGGAGCTCCCCAGCTGACAGCAAACCCCCGAACCCTCCACCTCCCCATAGGCCTCTGTCCTCCGACGGTGTGTGTCCTGCCTCCCTGCGTCAGCTCTGCCTTATAAATGGAGTGCATTCTATCAAAACCAGGACGCCTTCAGAGCTGGAGTGCAGCCAGACCAACGGGGCCCTGTGCTTTATTAATCCCCTTTTCTTGAAAGTGCACAGCCAGGACCTCAGTGGAGGCCTGAAACGGCCGAGCACAAGGACTCCCAACGCGAATGGCACGGAGCGGACTCGGTCCCCCCCACCCAGGCCCCCGCCACCCGCTATTAATAGTCTCCACACAAGCCCTCGGCTGGCCAGGACTGAAACCCAGACGAGCATGCCAGAAACAGTCAACCATAACAAACATGGGAACGTAGCTCTGCCTGGAACGAAACCAACTCCCATCCCTCCACCCCGGCTGAAGAAGCAGGCTTCTTTTCTGGAAGCAGAGGGCGGCGCAAAGACCTTGAGCGGCGGCCGGCCGGGCGCGGGCCGGGAGCTGGAGCTGGGCACAGCTGGCAGCCCAGGTGGGGTCCCGCCTGAGGCCGCCCCGGGGGATTGCACAAGGGCCCCGCCGCCCAGCTCTGAATCACGGCCCCCGTGCCATGGAGGCCGGCAGCGGCTGAGCGACATGAGCATTTCTACTTCCTCCTCCGACTCGCTGGAGTTCGACCGGAGCATGCCTCTGTTTGGCTACGAGGCGGACACCAACAGCAGCCTGGAGGACTACGAGGGGGAGAGTGACCAGGAGACCATGGCGCCCCCCATCAAGTCCAAAAAGAAAAGGAGCAGCTCCTTCGTGCTGCCCAAGCTCGTCAAGTCCCAGCTGCAGAAGGTGAGCGGGGTGTTCAGCTCCTTCATGACCCCGGAGAAGCGGATGGTCCGCAGGATCGCCGAGCTGTCCCGGGACAAATGCACCTACTTCGGGTGCCTAGTGCAGGACTACGTGAGCTTCCTGCAGGAGAACAAGGAGTGCCACGTGTCCAGCACCGACATGCTGCAGACTATCCGGCAGTTCATGACCCAGGTCAAGAACTATTTGTCTCAGAGCTCGGAGCTGGACCCCCCCATCGAGTCGCTGATCCCTGAAGACCAAATAGGTAAGTCTCCGCTTTTTTAAAATAGAAAATCTATTGTAACTCTGTCCGGGCAGTGCCCCCTGTGTTTGTTATTTTTGATGAAGTTTACTCCATCAGAACAACACCCAACTCCACCTTCTCTCCCGGTTTGAATGGAAAAATCAGTTTCTCAAAGTAGGTGCTAACTGCCAGGCTCAAAAATGTTTTTGGAGTGGCAGATTGGGACTGCAGAGTGATTCTATTCAGGGATGGAGTTTGGCCCTCTGTGGGTCCAGCTGCCGCCTGCTGTGGTAACGTGTGTGTGTTACACGGGCTGGGCGTTTCTGGAAGTGTGCTTCTCTGCAGGCTATGCATACATACAAAGGTATTTTTGTTATCTTCTGAGAGGCAGTGGGTATTTTGTTCTGCCTTGGTTGCAAAGGAAACTTTTTATTGAGCTGTATGTAGCGTATGTTCAGAGAGCACAAAACTCAGGTATGCATTGGAATGAGTTTCCACCGGGAACTTACCTGTGGGACAGCTACCAACCCCTGGATAAGCAGAACCTGACCAGCATCTAGCGAGCCTGGGACCCCTGTTCTCCCTCAAGGGAACCATCCTGCTGGCTCCTCATCCCATAGACTTTCTGTAAGCAGCACAGCTTGAGAGTAAGCAAAAGCTGAAAAAGGCAGGTTTGTTTTGTGTACCTTTAAAATAAGGAACATAGTTTGGAGGTCACATGAAAGGTGTTTTCTCCAACGTCAAGGGGAAATACTTTCTTTATAATCTCATTTAAAGGATGAGTTGCTAATAGTTACTTCGGCCAAGGCAGATTTGAATTTGGCAAGCAGTCTTTTTTTCCAGGGTGAGAATGTTGAAGCGTTTTTTGTTTGTTTGTTGTTTTTAGTTTTAGAAGGTTGACTCTTGAAGGTTAATTTCAGAGACTTTATTCACTAGGCAGCAGGCGCATTTGGAGCTACCAAACATTTCCAGGCGGTTCAGAAGCTAAACCCCAATTTTTTCTTTCTGATTGGTTCCATTTGTTGAAAGTAGTAAACAGTGTGTGATAGAGGACTCTTTCTCTCTCTCTCTCTCTCTCTCTCTCTCTCTCTCTCTCCCCCCTCCCCCCCTCTCTTTTTTCTCCTTTAAGTGATTTTCAGCAGCTCTTTGATTTTCTCACAAAGGAATCAAAGCCTTGTTTGTTTTCTTGTGGTTTGACTGAGGCCAGGCCTGGTTGATCAGGGCGTGGTTAAAGCTGGGGTGTTGCTGGAGTGAGTGGCTAAAGGAATGTGCCCTTGTGAGGTGCCTTCTAATTGAAAAAGACGTCAAGGAGACGGCAGAATATCCATGCAGGCTGCCTCTTTCCCCATCCCACCAGAGACCCGCTCTCAAGGGAGACCACATCAGACTCAGTATTAACAGAAACCCAACCTGCAGGGGAAGCTTCCTCTTAGGGGCTGGGGTCGGAGGGGGTGCAGCCAGGCAGGCGCTGATGTCAGGGCTGAGCTATGTGGCCATCGGCGCCAACCAGCCCACAGTGCCTGGCCTTCCCTCCCTGCTGATGCTGCAAGCACCAACCCAAGTTAGTCCCGGGAAGCTCTTCAGCCAGCTCCTTTTGTAGTTAAATTTGGATATGGTACTTGCTCTTAGAACTCAAGGACCCACTCATTTTCTCCAAAAACATGCTGAAAATTATATACTTCACTACTCTAGAAGGATGCAGCTTTTAATTTAAAATGATTTATGGAGCTTCGAGTACGAGCCTGGTAGCCTGTCTAATCTATTCCAGTGGATCCTCACCTCACCCCTGTGAACACGCATCGGCACCCCTTAAGGATTGGAGGAAGGCAAGGAGGGCCGTGCCAGGCCATGCCATTTGTCTGACAGCCACACTGTCTAGCAAACTAGCAGGTGCAGTGTTTGAACTTCCGTCGGATCAGAAGCCCACGTTTGCCGAACTCACTGTTCTGCTGCTGCTGCTTGTGCTTCTACTTTCTCATCAGTAGTTCAGGGGAATTGTAACCGCAAGGCCAACCCTGTGTTGAGGCAGCTCAGAATAAAGCTCTCTGTTGAGGTACGGGTATGGCCTCCACAAGCATTGCCGTGCTTTTTCTGTGGGTTTGTTTGGTTTGGTTTTTTTAAACTTTTGCACTAAAAGCAGTCAGTTCCTCCTGTTTCTTCACCAGTTCAAGCTTTCACTATACTTTCAAAGCATCATTCTGTTTTGAAAGTATAGTGAAAATGTTGGACTTTTGAAATAAAGAAGGTGAGTGGGAGCAGAGGTCAACCTGAGAAACGCATCACAAGTCCAGGTGGAAGAAAAGATGTGACCCTAATTATTAGAAAACCAGTCCCCATAGAGGTGCACTTTACTAGATGAGGCCTCTGACCAGAACATGGACTTAGATAGCCCACTTGTCTAGGTGGGCTTAAAAACTTGTCTATGTCTGCTTTAAAAAAAAAAAAAAACAACCTATTTCTATCCTCATTTCCTATAGCTTCTGAAGAAGATAGCTCTGAATTAGAAGACAGAATTCTAATTTAAAGCCTAGATTTATGCAACATCCTGAAGTCAAGAAGGTAGGAGGAGATATTACACTGGTTTAATCCATGTATGTTAGAGCAGTCATTTTTAGGTGAAAATGAACCTATGAATGCATGCACATGTATCCCTTTAGTATGGGGAGATAATACTCATCTGTATTCTTCAGAGGGTGGTTATTCCGTTGCATAGAGAAAAGCTAATGAGAAAAACAAATAGTTCTCACTCACTTACCTTTTGCCCATGTGCTGGTGTCACTATCCCTTCTAGCACTTTCTGGACAAGTGCAAATGATAAACAGTGAATCAATCTCAAAACTGAAAAATTGCCCCTGTAAATGATTATGTCCTCTCTTGGAGAATTTGCATTCTATGTAGACTACCCTTTGGAGCATTTCCAACCAAAAGCCTAGCTATGCAGAGTTTCCTGAATACATGTTCATTGCCTGGCACCAGCTTGGCTCTCCTGGTTGGAGGATGAAGCCAACGCGGGTGAGACACGGGCTTGTTCCTGTGTGCGCCAGCTCTCTATTCATTCCAGGCCACATACTGGGCTTCCCACCCAGAGAGCCATCACCTACTCTCACCCCTCCAGAGTGGTACATGGAAGAACAAACAAATGCTTTAATAAGAAGAGTGCAGTTTGGGGGCCCTACTTAAAGCGTTGGGATCAACCACTTCATGGACAGTGTACTGCGCTCATTGCTGATGAGTCATGCTATAGGATCTAGATGGGGTGAAATCACTTCCTGCTCCAACATACGCTCCTCACTGGTGGGTGTTCACATCCCACCACTCTTGCTTTAGTCTTTTTCAACCCATGGGGGAAATCCATCCAAAGTTTCGGGTAGAGAAATCTTCATTTTGCAGAACTTGTTGCAATGGTGTGGTTAGTGTTCTCATTTTGGTAAAATGAAGTTTATTTCTGACTTGATGTCAGTCTTGGGAAATCCCTCTGTTTTCAAGGCTTGTGTCAAGAAAAACGAAATTCATCCAACTCCAAAAATGTTAGTAATCTTAAAGTTTCTATTTCATTCAGATACTCTCCACAGACTATCAGCAGTGACACAAAAGAGCCAACTGTTCATATTCCTAAAAGTCAGTAGTGGAAAACAAGACGGTACTGTGTTTATTTAAGTGCTACAAACCAAAATGTATGGTTTCTCCAAAGAGCAATTTAACGATTTGAAGAAAAAGTATCCTTAAAATCAGTTTCCACATATTTCAAAGATCACTTCGATTTATGTATCTGAGTGTTTTTTGTTTGTTAATAGAGAAATGATACGGAAAAGACACCAGAGAGTATAGCACACATAGAAAACAGGATTGAAATGATTCCCGGGGAGTTAAACAATCACAACTACTCTGGTTCAGATCTGGTTTTTTTTTCCAAGTGAGTATTTAAGCTGGCTCTAGCTTCAATATCTAGTGTGCCTTGTTTTGTTTTTAACTTCTCAGGTCACAGTTTGGTTCAAGCCCCTGAGTTATCTGGATTATTTTTTAAGATAAAGAGCTATTCTGGGGCCGGGCGCAGTGGCTCACGCCTGTAATCCCAGCACTTAGGGAGGCCGAGGTAGGTGGATCACCTGAGGTCAGGAGTTTGAGACCAGCCTGGCCAACATGGTGAAACCCAGTCTCTACTAAAAATACAAAAAAATTAGCTGGGCATGGTGGTGGATGCCTGTAATCCCAGCTACTCGGGAGGCTGAGGCAGGAGAATCACTTGAACCCGGGAGGTGGAGGATGCAATAAGCCGAGATCACGCCATTGCACTCCAGCCTGGGCAACAAGAGTGAAACTCCGTCTCAAACAAACAAGCAAACAAACAAAAAAGCTCTTCTGAGAGGTGTAGCCAAGGAGACATGTTAGTGCCAAACAGAGATTAAAACCTTGAATCTTCTGACTTCTGATCTAGTACACGTGACCCTATCGCCTGAGGGAACAAATGTCCTTGTAGAGTTAACAAGAGGCAGAGAAAAAGAAGAAAGATTGTGGTATGCAAAAGGATACCTATATTATTTCCAAAAATTAATTTAAATAGCAAACCACGATAGAAAGCACCTGTTTTTCTCCCGTGGGACATCCTTTGTTGAATAATTTTTACTTTAGGGCACAAAATGGGGTCAATTATGTTACATCAACCAAAACAAGGTTGATACCCCTGGAGTTGTGACTGTCTGCCCCGGAGCCCCTGACTCCATGACAGCCTGCACAAGGGGGCTGTTAGCTCAGTAATTGAGAAAGACTTTGCTCACAAGGTGGGTGGGGGATGGCATCACAAAATAAGTCACACGAAGATGTCTGCTCCAGAGTATCTTCTGACCATACTCGTAGAGTCTTTCTACCTCCCAGGCAGGAAACCTCACCGGGTAAAAGAGGAATTCGTGTAGGAATTGAGGAATGTCACCCAAAGGACACCTAAAATGCTGCATGAAGTTTGTGGCAGCATCAGGCTCTTTAGGGCACACCTATGTTTTCCCACCCCTCCACTCCAGCCAAAA